CGGCCTGAACTGCTCAGTGTAAAACTTGCATCTCTCAGATGATACGTAACAGCCAGTAACCGTGACAAGTAGATCCTCCCGACAATGGAAGAAGCACAGAAAGTTTCTCTGCAGGATAGGCAGATGAGCATGGACTTGTTTGAACTTCATTCCTACTTGCAATTTACATATGAATATGTTGAAGAATCACTTATGCTGAAGATCAAGAATGATACATTGGAAAAAAACTTCCTTCAAGCTATGCAAAACTGACAACTGTAGCAACCACACCTTCAAATGAAGCTGGATTATTCCCAGCAAACTGTGCAGACATCCAAGGACTTAGAACACAGGAAAGCTCTAAAACCAGAAGCAGATTTTGCACTGCAGCAGGTATTTTGCTGAACTGAAAGCCTGCAAAGATGTCCTGTGACACTTCCAGTTAATTAGAAACTATAAAAATATTACAGTCAAATTGTATACACTCCTGAAAACAGGAAAAGCCCAGCTCCTTGGTACTACTGATCTTCCTTTACAGAAAGATTGTTCTTTGCCTCTTATAAAACACTGTGCGTCTGAGTCTCAACAGCATAAAGTTGCATCTACAGATCTTCACATTCAAGAACACTTAAGCCGTTGACAGAAGGTATTCCACCATGTTTGGTTCAGCCTGGAAAGCAGTGCACACCATCCACCGAATCACGTGAGCGAGCCACTGTTGCAGGAGCCGGTTTGCCTTGAAATTGCTTCCAGGTTGTTCTCATTCACAGTCTTGTAGTGACCCCTTCCTTTGGCCAGCATCTCAGACGATAAAGAGCAAATACTCAAGACAACTTACAAGTTGCTCTAAACTCAAACAGCACATTAACAGAATTCAGTATACAGTTCAGCGTGTCAGAAGTCTAATTTCTTCAGCTGCTCATATGTCAGAAAGAACTGGAACAGCTGATTAAGGAAAACTGTTTCCTGTTCACGCAGTGCAAAGTGATCACTTCGCTACTACAGGACAGCTGCATCTGTGTGAAACTTTGTTCCACTCTTCGTGTGCAGTGCTGCCGGCTGCCTGGTTTTGTTATGCAGTACTAGGCAGAACAATGAAACTTGCTCTAAGGCTGGTGATGCCAATTACTTTCCCATCCCTATTCCTCAGGATCTTAAACACAGGACTGAGGAGGCAGGAGAATACTGCGACAGCCCTTAGAGTCTTTACTCACTTCGCTTTGATGGGCTAAAGTAGGTTTGCTCATGGTAAAAAACATTACCACCAACCCACTTCCCAGGGCTCTGATCAGCTGGCTCTTGGAACAAAACCAAAACTGTGTGAGACTAAGATAAACAAAAACATTTCATGGCTAACTGCCAACATTTTCCCCAGTTCTGGAAATAGACCCCATTCCTAACTCACCTGGTCAATTTTATTTAAAACTAGGCTCCAAACTAAAGAAACAGACAGGTATGAAATTGGAGGAACAGAAAAATGTTTTGCAAGATCACATTCTAATATTCACTCTGCGAATCACAAATTCAATCTGACCAGCAGTAGCTGACTAAGAAAATGGCCAACTACACAATTTTCCATTCATAAAAAGGGAATATTTGTGCTGACATGACACTTTCCACACTGAGCATTCTGTGAAACTGTCCGTCAATACTTGCTGTTGTATGGCTAGCTTAATAGTTTTGCACACCTTTGAAAAGGATACAATGATATTCCAAGGACCAAGTCTTAACCAATTTGGCCAAAACCCTTTATATAGAGCAAAAAAGCCTTCATTCTTCCATGTCTGGAAAAAAACACAGCAAGAATACGCTTATGTAATTCTTTTAGTGAGAAATCTAGACAGCATCACAGCTAACAAGATTCTAAACCAGACAAGGGGATGGCTTAGTGCTGTAACCTTCGTTTAAACATGCTGTATGATGGGACAAGGAAACATTTCACTAGATAAAGCCAAGATTAGTAATGCCTGCAGCATTGCCTGGCAGGTGAAGATGCAGTCTATGTCATTCAGTACCCAACCCAGATTCCTCTAAATTGCATTCCTAGACTTTTTTTCCCCAAAAAACCTTGCAGAGCACTGCATGTAAACCTGCAGCTCACGTTAGGCACCCCCTTGAAATTTTTCACTTTGCTTTATGGACTTCACAAAATTGCACTGGACAATGTGACTTGGACTGTTACACAAACTGGACTGTTCAGTCAACAGTTTGGACACCAACAATTTCCTATCCACTCTTCTCCATGTAAAAGGCCGTCATGCTCCCACATCACACCCAATTTAGGGATTTAAGAAACCAAGCCAAAATAATCAGAGACTGACACTGCCTTTGGCTGTACTAGGCTTTCCATTATGCAGTAAGCACCGGAGAAAGCCATCTGCCCCAGAAGATGTTGTTCTTCAAGAACTGACCTAGGAAATTATCATTTCCTATCAATATCCTAACATCGTAAAAAGTTAAGTAAGAGACAGTGCTGCTGAGAGACTTGGTCTCCTCATCCAAGCACCAAAAGGAATTAAGTGCCTGCAGTACACACTAACTTTCTTCCTGCCTTTCTGTCAAGACAGTAGATACTTTTCACACCAAGTGCATTATTGGCAGTATAGTCCTTTTGAGCATTAGGGCAAAAAGCTTAAAGTTACTTGGGTTAATTTCTAGGGAAACTTAGAACAATTTCAAGTTCTACACCAAAATCATCGCTTGATGGCACCAGCTTCTACTTACGTTGATACATGAACTACTTACTTGTACCAAGCAATCCAAAGTACCCTTGTAGTTTGAGTGTCCCCCATGTTGTTGGCTTCTCTGATTCATCATGCGTGTTCTCACAACATCAATTGGGTTGGATGCCAGGGCTCCAGCTAAGCCACAAGTAAAACTTGAGCTAATGAAAGAAAGGTTTAATGAAATTTGACCTCCCACATTTCAAGATGCACAAGAATCCCCACTCCCCAGAAAACATGCAGTAATAATGAGTGCTTAACGCTTTCAGTTAAAAATTACATCAGCTAATAGATGTGAAAAATTACTTTTCATATACTATAAAGCATCATTTTCAAGATTTGGTATACAGCCCTTACATACAGTTTCTGTATACCTGAACAGATGTTTGTGCCTCTGAGAATAGCAGATATTTGATTGGAACTTTCCTCTAATCTCAATTTGCAAAGCTGAATGATTCAGATCATCCACAAACCAAAATTCCATATTCAAAAGAAAGTTAAATCCAAGTCCTAAGTAAAATTAGCTTCCATGCTATGTGCTACCATTTGAGATGCTATTGCATTAAAAAGTATAAACACATCAGAAGTATATTTTTACATCTATACCGATGGCAGAAAAATAAAAAAAGATTCCTCTCTCATAACAAGAACAAACCAACGATGAGCTATGCAAGCAGTTATACAAACTTACAGAAAGTGAGTATATACTGTATCTCCCATAAATCCAGACATAATTATGTGCTTCTTGGTAAGGTCATACACTGGCAGTTCCACTCCAACAACAATAGCAGCTCTCTGTGCTGTCAACGATACTCCCTGGCAAAAGAAAGGATATAGCTGAAGTTTAAAATTAACCTTTGTGCACCATCAGAAAAGCCTAGCTTTTATAATACAAAGCAACACACCATGAATGTGTTAAGAACATTGTGAATTCAAATAAGGCTAATTAGTACAAGTCTTAGATGTATGTGCTCCAAAAATGCAGGTTCAGGTTAACAGATGAATCACTTTTCCACACTGAACAGCAATTTCAGTTCCTTTATGCTACTCCATCTCTGCTTAACATACAAATTCTTACACCAACAGTCAGCTAAGACCTCACCAACCAGGTGATACTGGCTCCCCTTGCTGCTAACTGAAAAACTGACAAAGTAAGGAAGATGAACAGAAAAGTGGAGATCAAGAAGCTTTGCAGAGAAAAGCACACTAATAGAAAGACATTTCTATTTTCCAGCTGTTTCAGAGCAACTGTCCATTCTTGGTCTTCAGTTGTTAAACAGTCACTGACTGTAACTGGCATAAGACAACCTACAAGACTGAGTACAAGAATTCCTGAGCTAGAGGGGATGTTCATTAGTACCTTCACTTCCAAATGTTCTTTAGTATGTTTTTATGTTTTAAAAAGAGCAGAGCATACAGACCGAGAGGTGTCTTACAAAGGGTTGTTGAACTAGTCCTAGAGCCAGTCACCCTAATTTAAGCCTCCATTTGTCTCCCCTTTAAGAAGTGGCTAATCCTTGAACACAAGACTGGCAGTAACCCTTTGTCAAAATGCACCGAGACACCAGCAGTAAGGTAGTCATGAAAAGTTACATGCGTATTAGCTACTGACTTCTCCATATTTTGGCTGAGAATACTGTAGAAGCACATGAAATTCAGTGGAGCAAGAAAGTGTACTTTGAATGTGGGATATAGTTCAAAAAACTTGCCTTCCACAATCCTTTAGTGCCTTCCTTTTGGTAGATCTGTATGAAGTTGCCCATCATTCCTCCTTGAATCACACTACCTTGGGCTTGCATTCTGATCTGAGATTCATTTGAAGATAAAATTAGAAAATAAATACTTTTCAAACATACAACCATTAATGGTTTAATAGTCTTATTAACATTTCAAGTTACTATCTTTTAAGTAGTAAAGTCAATTTCTCTTTGAATACAAATTGATAGCTGACATTATCATAACCATGATGCAATCTTTTGAAGTGCCTTAACTATCCAAATGCAGCTGCTAATTTTGAACGAGTACGTGGTGTAGCTCTTAATGCATTAAGTCACTTCTATTTCTGTACTTGTACACCACTCCATTTAGATTAGACTGACAGATGGGTTCTGCAGGATGCCCTTTACACTGTTCTCACAGAAACATGTTAAAATGAAAGGTTAAAAAGATTAAGGTTTCAGCTAGTGGGATCCATGGTCTTCAGCCCTGTGGATTTCTATGAATGTCCTTGGGAACCTGCCATGGTGACTACCAAATACAAGCTTGATGACAAGCAAGTTGGTATGTGGACAGAGTTTTGGGAAATAACTAATTGAAGCCACACTTGAAATAGCTTGTGTTTGAAATGCCTCTACATAACCACACTAGCCCTATGAAGGATTAAGTTTTTAGTAGTTTTAGGAGAACAGAAAGAGGGTTTTTTAATTTTTCATTAGAGGCAGCCATGTAAGTCACATGCTACAGTTTTGTAACTTAAATACCATCAGCCCTTTTAAGTAACTGGAAAAGAGGTCATTGACTATCAATAAGCCAACAGATTCTTAAAGAGGCGGTGGTTTCACCAATTCACTTCAAATGACTGATGCTGGAACACTATTTCCACGGGACACTGGACTGCAAAGCCTTTCTACAGGATTAAAGAATCATACAGTACAAGTAGCACTCACTAAACTCTTGCCTCTCAATTGATCTTCACCTATTTTGAGCTCTAGAAACATTCTAGTATAACAGCATTACCAAGCAGTATAGATGAAATATGCAGTGTGGCTTCCACACAGAAGCTATATCATGAAAGTTAAAGAGAGTCATCTAAAATTATTCTCTCCCCACCCCCAGAAAAAGTTATATGGATCCAACTACTTCTCCAGCCATCAGTTTCCTAGTAAATACTTCTGCATCCAATTAATATGGACGCAGAAGTGCATCCAATTAATATGGATGCAGAAGGAGGTTCCAAGAATTCAGGATGTTACTGATTTTTTTTTTTTTTTTTTAAGTTAAGAGATGAGAATAAATAGGGTTACAAAACAACAAATCCTATATTCATCAGGAGATTCTGCATTTCCTCAAGGAGAGGACAAAAACTAAGGACAAACTCTGTGTAACACATAATTACCTTTAAGACATCTGTAGGGTTGGCAATAGATGATGAAATTACTCCCGAAAGAATGCCACACAGAACATTTATCATCAGGGTTTCATCTATTCCATAAACAAAAGAAAAAGAGTCTAGCTGCAGATTTGCAAATCTTAAGATGCATCCGGTCAGGATGATGCCACCTCTCCTTTAACCAGAGAGAGTGCCAATTACAGAAGCCTTAAAAACTGCTCTGACAAGTTTTCCATGCTGACTCACTTTGTTGTAATTGGTACAAGGAATATCTTCTACATTCTACAGGGAATGTAGACTTGTTCAAACTGCTACAGTAAGATACCAAATGGAAACAACCAGCTTCAAGCAAATCAGTCCTCAATTAAATTGAAAAAACCCACCCACCTTCTGGATGCTCAACAAACATTCTTTTTAAGCTCTGGTAAGTGCCTATTTTTATAGTTCCATATGAAGCTTGCCGTAGCATTGCAGGTGCAATCCTGTAAAAATAGGCAGTAATAACATTTATGCTCAAAATTGCAAAAGACTGATTAGCAAATACTTTATAGCAGGAGAGACTGAACACAAGACATCTACCAGAGAAAGGTTTGTTCATTTAAATCAACAATTCAGACTCACTATAGACAAAACAAGGTTTTGTTGTTGTTTTGATTTTTGTTTTTTTAAATAAAGCCTGCAAGAACATGAATGAACTGTGGAAGGATTACTATGAGAGCATATCTCAACTTGTGATCTATAAAATAGCTAGGAAGCTTGCCTGAAATGTAATCTGCAGGTTACATCTTTCTCCCACCATTTTGTATGCTTTGAAGAAAAGCATGCCCATTTCTACACAAAGGTTAATTCAATTTTTCTTCTGAGAGATGGAACAACCATAGCAGCATTGTATAGAATAACTTTATGCTTAGCTATTTTTTTTTTCAGGTAGGTTTGTTTAGGTTTTTTTAAACATGAAATGCTATTGCAGAGTGCAAAGACTGAAGCAATCTAAGCTTGGGCTTTCAACTTCCAGATTAATTGAGGCTAACCAAATACCTTGTAAATCTGAAACCCAAGAATTCACACACTATAGGCTTATACTTATCAATATACTGTTCATAAACCATTACTGCAAGTCAGCTAATTTTACCCAGAGTATAAGGCTTTCAATCCTTCTTCTCTGCATATTCTGACTAGTGCATGCACCATTCCACGGTAGCGGATCTCTTTATATTTGGCATCATTAACTTGACCTTGAACCTGCAGACGTGTTTTGGTCAGATCAATGGGGAAAGTACCTTAAAGAAAAATCAGAGATAAAATTAATCAAGTAGTTACCTAACCAAAGACAACAAGGAACATGATCTAAGAAAAAGCAGCCTTTATTATATACTAAAATATATAAAAATACTCCCAGAGAAAAAAAGTCTCTTACCAAGACTTTCTTTTAAACGAGTCGTTCATTTTATGTCTTCTTGTTTCTCCTAAAAGCTTGTCAGAGGCCCTACCTACTTCCTCTGTTTACGTTTTGCATTCACAATGTTTTCAGGCGACATGGTATTGCCTGGCTGTAAAGAGCCACACTGAATAGGACTCTACAATCACAGTCAAGTACAGAGTTTGCATCTGTATTCTACCAACATCTTCGAAAAGCATTTCATTGAAGGCAAAGAAATAAATTCCGTAAGACAAGCTGTACAGATTCTAGCCTAGAATCCATAAAAAATAGCAGCAGTACCTATTTCTGTTACTGCTTTCCTGTAGCCTATTGCTATGTCAAGTTCATACTCTCCATGCTCCCTTTATGAAACAGTTTAGAAATCATATTCCTCCAGAGGTTATCTTTAGGAAAGGGACCACCTCAATGTTCAATACTCACGTAAACACTAATAGGAGTCAGGATTAATCACATCTATTCTAACGACTTTTACCAGGCAAGCAAGGCTTTTATGAATTGCTTGTCTTCCTCATGAAGCTTTTGGCATTATTTGCCACATTCAGTCAAGTCAAAAAAGAGAGGTTTTAAACTCAAGCTTGAACAAGATTCATAAGAGAAGGTAGAAAAGGAAAACAAAATTGTAGTTTTAAATGTAAATTTATACTACATCTACTTTATTAGGCAGACTTCACATGCAAGCCCACAACACATCAGACTATGCTCTAGTACTATGAAAATCCAGATTTCCTTTATTTTCATGTACATGCATTTCAGATAAGTCTTTAAAAGGATGTTAGTATTTTAAGTTTGTCTTTAGAGTAGGCACTAAAACATCAGATGCACTGTCTCACTATAGCAATTATTCTATGTTGCACACTAACTGAATTTAAGTGTTCAAAGCTAATCAGCCACTCTCATCCAAGAAAAGGGAATTTAAACTGCAACATAGCTACTCAGAAAAGCTAAGAGAAAAATTTTACAAGTTAAGCTCTTAACTTATCTACTCTAGCAAAACAAAAGCTGTGTATACTTATGACTAGTGTCTAGGAACAGATCCACAAACACCAAATAGTAGAAAGCAAAGGCAAAGTTTGTATAAAAACAAGACTGAGGGGGGATGCGAGTTTACAGACAGAAGTGTTCTGACATTGTAACAAAGTTCCGAGCAACTCCTCAGTCAGCATTAAAGAAAAAAACTCCTATGCTGTAGACCACCATATACTACTGTGTCACTGATAGCATGGAACCAAGCTTGTTCTAAAAAGGACTATCTCAGTAAAGGAAATCATGTAAAACAGTAAAGGAAAAGCTTACCACATTCTGCAGTGATTGATGCTAAACCTCCATAGATAAAGGGCTTCCAGTTTAGTGCTGACATTATTGATTTTTCTTTCTGTGAAATAAGACAACAATTTAATGCTTCTATAAGTACATCCGTTATATAAATATATATGCTAACACTTAATAAAACTTTGTGCCTTGTCCATTTAAGATGGACCTTCCAAACATACTAAGGATAAAAACATTTAATACCTTTGACAGTCAGAAGAAAGTCAGTAATACTGCACAAAGGCATCCGGGTTCAAATCAATGTCTCTATGTATTTGGGCCACCACTATCCTCATGATGAAAGGTTAGAATAGTTTGTCTCCCGGGTATGATCTTAAGGAGCACTGCAGTGAATAACCTCCAACGATCCTTACCAAGCTGGATTAGTTTGCCTATACCCTGCAATCAAATGGAACTTTAAGACAGTCATTACTAAACTTCTGTCCCTTTTTTCCTGCTATCAACATTAACGTGAGCTGAGCTGGTACGCTTGGACAGAAAATAGGGGTGCATACAACGTTTTGCCTCCATTAAGGCCTATTTCTGCTACCAGTGTTCACAATATTCATTCTTGTGAACTTTATATGAAAGTAATCAGGTGCATAAAGCCTTTTACAGTAAAAAAAGGCTGCTCTAATTTAGAAGTCAATTAAGTGAATGTGACAAAGTGACCACAAATCATAATTAACTATGGCATATGCTTTGCAAGATGCTAAAATCAGCCAATTATTTTGGAGGTAAGAACTGCAAAACCAAAGTAGTCCAACCAATACAAAATTGCCCTTCTCAAAAGCAAGTAGGTCTCTCCACAGCTTATTTTTTCACTTCCTCATAATATAAATACTTTCCATTCCCCATTTTCTGTAATATCCTCCTAAACATTGGATTCTACAGTTATCTTTTGCCAATTAATTTTGTGGAATAATTGTACTTGAAAATACATCCCTTGGCACTTCCACTCCCTGTAACTTTGTTTATTCACCTGTACTGCCGAGCTAGAAAAATATCACAAATACACCAGTTACTTAGCACTGCCTTTTGTAAAGATGAACCTTCCTTGGTCACTTCCTCTCGAAGTGCCAATAATCCAGTGTCCAAAGTTAACAGAAGTTGCAGACACTGAGCATGCCTGAATAGTTACTGCAGCCCCAGTTTTCCTTTTATCATCTTTACTTCACAGGGGTTACCTGGGTCTTCAGTCTTCTGATGCTCAATACAATAAAAACCCATAGGAGCTCACAGCACACAATTTCAAATACCTAACAACCAAGAGCACAGAAATCCATCTGACTCTTTAGGCTGCTGCAAAGAACATCACTGATGTAAAAAAAAACAAAGAAAAGGCAAGTAAGGGCATCCACTATATTGCCAAAAAGAGTGCCGGGCAGAGATCAGGAGCCACAGGCATAGACTATGCCAGTTTTTCAATATGAAAGCAGCAAAGCCACGTGGGTATGACACTGTGCCAGAGGCAGGACACTTCCAGCTCCAAGTTCCTCACATTCCTTGTCCTGCCACGATTAATGGCGGCTCATTTAATTAATGGAGACAAAGGCAAGCTCAGTCTCCCCACTATCAGCCACACACGACCTTTGCTTTTGAGAGATTCGTCAAAATTGAAAATACCAGCTAACTTTTTTTCCCCTCAACACATTAAAACAAATTTTCATCTATCACAAATACCATAACACTGATACAAAACTAAAGTGTATCTGTACTTTTGTTTGTTTTGTATTTCACTCTGCCTGGGCAATGAAGGCTACTCCGTTTTTCTGTGTAATTCTGGAGCACTGACACAATGTAGAAGTATGCAAGCACAGTCAAATAAAGTTTTCAATTTGCACACAGATTTACTAATATTAGCTGAAGTTTTGATAAATGTATAGGTTACCCTACTGTGGAAATTTTATAGCACACTGTTCCCTTGACATATCAAGGTAAAGGCCTTACACACCACTGTCAAGGTTTGTACGTCCGAAAGGCTTACTAGTCTCCTTTCCTGCTATTTAGGCCAAGCTAACCATCTGACACTTTCCACTTATTTCTATCTTGCATCCCTCCTTCTAGCTTTCCATACTTACAGGAAGAAATTTAAGCAGAGTGGCAGAGCTTATCTCAAAAAAAAAAAAACCAAAAAAAACCACACCACACCAGCAAGAAACTTTGCCCTTTCACCTCAGCTGTCTCGTTTTCTGAATTCTTATTTTGCTTCTTACTCAGAAAT